ACCAAAGTTATTGCGTGCCACTCCTCAGGCCCGAGCTTGAAGTCCTCAGTTAGGGAAAATGCTTTTTTTTGTAGATTTTTTTGTTTAACTTAGGCTTTTTATTGTAATTTTTAAATTTTCTTCTTACGTTTTTTCTCAAATGAAATTAGATTTTTAAATTGGTAATTTATATTTAAAATGAAATATTTATAGTTTCGTTCCTCAACTTTTCTGGAAAAAACTGGTAAAACTGTGAAAAAGCAAAATTGCTCTCAGAGAAAGAGAGAAACCCCAAAAAGTATGGGAACGCTACTGAGATCCATGGTTCAAGCTCTCGGGTAGGCCACTCTTTTTGGCTAAAAACTGATAAAACTGTGAAATACACCGTAGACGCCATTTTTGTTTGCATAGCTGTTGTTATCATTTGGCGATTTGTTAAATTATACGGAAGTACGCAGGCAAATAAACAAATATATTTAATAAGGTGAAAATGTACAGATGTACTTTTGTTTTTGTTTATTCAACCTTCAATCTGCTTTGACACTGAACAGCGTATCAGATTTTACCAGCCAGTAAAAATTCTTCAGGTAAAATCTTGCAACTTCTGACAAAGAGAGAATACCTAGTTTACTACCCCATTTTTCGCCTACATAGCCAGAGAACCGAGTACGGGCACCTTCTCTGGTAAATTCTAGCAATTTTGTCGAATTTGACACTTACATTATTTTAATTTGAAAAATCTTGACAACCTCCAAGCGGATTTGAACCTGTGATCTCAGAACCAGAACGAGTGGTCTTCACGCGTCGCCACTGTCAACATTTGTAAAGGAAGCAATTAAATGCTTTTTATTTTTGTTGATTTTGTCAACTCAAAGGCAGAACTTGTAGGCCATCACTTTAACTCATACTAGCTAATGAAGTGGTATTTTTACCGATTGGTTTGGCTTTTCATTGCATGGAGGTTTAAGTTCTGTATGAATGTATTGGCATTGGAGTCAGTGAAATGGTTGAGGTAATTTTGCATTCCCTTCCCCCGCTTACCCAGACAAAACCGGTTTTCGACGGAGGCCCAATGTCATCAAGGTTATTATGAAATAAAAGTAGATTGTTTGTTAATAGGGTAACCACCTTTTCAGTTGCCCGAGATTAAAAAATAAAATTATAATTTCTTCACTTTTGTGGTTTTTTAATAACATTTCTTAACAAAACTTTAACTAAACAAACAATTCTTCAACCCTGAAAGGGCATGCTTATTTTGAGAATTTTTTCTTACAGCCTATGTGAAGACATCAAAACTACAAAAAAAAAAATGAAAAAAAAATGTTTCTCAAACCCTAGGATTTTTGTGTCAAACCCTGAACGGCCTGAGTGATATGCAGGGCCAATGAACTGGCAAGACAGGGAACTCTTGAGTAGTTATTGCTAGGGAAAGAGAATGTGGGAACCCGAAATGTTTGGGCTTCCAATATGAATGCATGTAGACTAAAAGTAAAAGCGGTTCAGAGGTGCCTAGGCTAGCAAAAGTCGAAAGTAGGGCTAATAGAGGTTTTAATGCTGATTCAAATGAAAAATTTATCTATATTTTCTGTCGCCACAGTGCAGAGAAAATCTTCCTTATATAAAACACTTTTTTCTAGATGAATCGGACGATGATACCTGACCGAAAGACTTTTTAATCCGTCAAATCATTATTCTTAAATTTTAGACTTACGAAGGTGGTAACTGATTAAAAAAAATGGTATTTTATAGTACAAATTGTTCAACTTTTCGAAAAGCATCGTCTTTTGAAACAAAATCGACGCAGGTCTTTGGACAGATATTCTGTTGCAAATTATGTCAAAAAGCCGCAACTAACTTAAGTGTCGACTTTATTTTGACTATGAAAACGACATATATCAAATGGCAATAACAATTTTTTTTTCTTGAAATGTATATGGCGAAGGTTTAATGTATGTACGTAATTCTCATTCGGAGGGGGAAGTTTTTTTCCAGAATTCAGCTGAAATATATTCGACACCTTCACATCCATACAACTGCGAACACCACTTTTTTAATGAAGAAGCAATCAATGAATGGTACCGTGTTGCTGCTATTGGGGCTGGATTTGGTTTTCTTATTTTATAACCCGATTCCAGCTGCTTTTTTAGCTTCTTCTAGTCTGGGCCATTTGTTAATAAAATTTAAGTTTTCTTTGACATTTAATAGACTTAATGTTTTGACGATTTCACAAGGTCACCTTAGAGATGACTTAAGAGAAAATGAGCCGCTGAGTTAAATGTTTGCCTGTGGAAGGCTTCCGTGCTACATTTACTTATAAACTTATAGGCCAAATTGTTCACGCTTCCTTCATTCGATTGCTACCTTCAAGGCGATGATAAAATGAATATTCAAACTAAGGCGCGGGTGAGCCGAAGACTGGCTTCTTTTATGGCTGTTAATTCTGCTTGAAAGACATTGCAATGATCAGGGAACCGGACGATCGCTCTTCTAAGCTAATCCCACTGACAACATTACCGTTTAGCTTTGCCATTCGCTGCTATCTGGGATTCCTATTGAAAGCTTGTCTTTAGGTAAAGTATTTAGAACAGTGCTGTTAAGCTATAGTAGTATCCAGTATTTTGAAGTACCTAAGGTATGTTCCAATTTAGCTCATTTTTAAGTGAACACTTTTCGAAATTTATGGATTACATTTGAAAATCAATTTGGAACAAAATTTCTTATTCGAACAGTATCAACTACCGTTTAAAGCCTTGCTCTATTTAATTGCAGACCAATTATCGCACTCATTGGGCAAAATATTGTTGAAACCAAAGCTCACACTACTCGAACGCTTTCATTTTCAGGGAAAAAAATAAGACGGTTAGCTTGTCTTTATAGAAATCTCTGCTTATTTTCGTCGAAGGCCTCTTTCCGGAAGGTCTGAAACCGATTGCCCATTCGGACTTGGTTGCTTTCAAAATGTACTCATAACAAAGTCCACTTCCAACCCAGAATAAGTTGTAAAAACATAAAATCGTTGAATGGCTTGTAAAAAACGGTTCTTTTAGATGTCAATTTTGGCTGGGGTCGATGCTGGTTTGGAGAGCTTCTTATTCTCGTGCGTATTTATTTTTCGAAGTCAAAGCATTACCGAATGCTGGGTTTTGACAGCTGACAGATTCTTAGCCTTCCAATAATAATGAAAAAAAAGTATGTACATAGCAACATTGTTAGTTTATCTGGCATAAATATATGCCTTATACTTATTTCAAATTTAATTACTACATATGTAGATACATATATTTGAAATTTCTTATGAAGAAATCTGTGCCTCAAAAGGCATTACTTTTGGAACCACATTCTGCTTGGCCCGACCGGGGAAGTCATGCCGTTTTATCGGCATCTGAAATTAGTGAGGTAAACTATAGCTCCATTTTCTTGCTAACGCATTTATTTAGTTGCAAAAGATATTTAAGAGGGCAAATAGTTTGGGCTCATTTATAAATATCATTTGTTGCACGATTTGAGTCTGTTTGTAAACGCTTTCCATGAGGGTAGGTAGGGAGAACCAAGAAGAGGGGAAATGCCAAGTTCTTAACTGAGACATGACAGTTCTTCAAAAACGTTCTCTACGCAAATACCATGGCAACCTGGATCAGGCCACATTATATGTACATTTACAATTTTTTTCACGTTCAAATACAAAATACAAAGCTATACTAACATACGCAAAATTTCAATTGCCTTAATATATAGTACAAAAGTTTAAGTTAATGATTTGTTTTTATATGTTTGTGTATTATTTGGTTTTTAGTTTTATCGTCTTAATATAAACCATAAGAACTTAAATTAAGCTCAAATTTATACAAGAATGGTAATGAGGGCAAATCATAAAAAAAAAAAATTGTAAGGAAAATACAAAAACTAAACAAATTACAATCGCCCATAAGAATGCGTAACTCTATCGCTATTACTATTTAAAAATGAGCGTTTTCAAAACGAAATTTTTTTTTTTTGCTTGTTTTCAAATTCGGAATTTTTGCACTCTTCACTATTTGCCCATTCTTCTCACATCGCACAATGACGGCAACATTTGCTTTGTATTAAATTAAACTACACAGTGCTTTTTCTTGTTGAAATTAGATAACATTAATTATGGTTAATTGTAGGTTTAGAAGAATAACATAAAAATAGGATACAAATTAGTCGAGCTCTTGACAGAAATCGTTTTAGAAACGTTTTCTTCGTGTAAACAGCAAAGTATTGCAAAATGGGACAAAGCTGTAGACGTTGACCAGCTCCAAGCAATTACATACACATTACAGTGCCTAAATAGCGATAGTTAATTAATTTTCTTAAATAAAATTTTAAAATGTTTTACATAATTTTTTATAAAATTTCTTGGAGTATTTGAATGTACGAACAACTTAAAAAATCTCACTAAAGTATAATGTACCCAATTTCGAGGTCATAATGTCTTTGTTTTAGATATGACAACTGTAATGTTAAAATTGTTTTATACAAATTCCTTTTAAATGTTCAAGTAAGCGGTTAGTTAAGTTTGTAGTAAAGAACCAACCTTCAGAGCCCATGGGTATTCGTTGTACAAGAGCCTTATATTTTTGGTTGTAGCTGCCAAGGCATATATTTTAACAATAAAGGTTTTGTTGTTGTTTTAGTAGCCTCGAGTGGTGAAATGATGGTACTTGACCGTATCTCGAAGGATCGATAAGGCAACCTAGAAATGATCTATGAATTTTTCCAGCTCCACGCCTTGGTTCAACCCATCTTTGTTAATGTACCTCATTTCGAGGTGTATAATGTCTTTGTTTTAGATATGACAACTGTAATGTTAAAATTCTTTTATCAAATATCTTAAATTTTCGAGTAAGATGTTAGTAAGTGAGAATGAATTTTTCCAGCTCCACTCCTTGATTCAACCAATCTTTGTTACAATTTTGTATTAAAAAATAGTATTCTATTAAATTAAAATTGCCCTTTACAGGTGCTTCAATTAAATAAAATTAAATCAGCTCCTAGTATATTTTTTACATTTTACTAAAATCTCTAAAAAAAAAAAAAAAGAATTTTCTTTGCAAACTGTATGTATGTATGCATATCTGCAGCCATTTTTCGTTCCCTGCTCAATAGTCGCTTTCTTCCATTAAGTCCCATTTTGCAATACCACGTGACCTCATTCCCTCTCTCTTCATTATCGCACTATCTTTCCCCTTAAATTTCCACGCTTTATCTTCTACAAATATTTCCTGTTCTTGTCTTCTCTCTCTACATGTGTAAGTGTGTGTTGGTATATAAGTATGTGTGTGTAAGTCCTTTTTAGACAATTGAAATTGTTACATTTATTCCCAGATTGCCATTATCCGCAAAGAGTTGTGCAATCGATGTATCAAACACCAAGCAATCCGAGTTGTGTATAGCAGAGGCAACACCTTCGTGTATGGAGCGCGGCATAGCCTCCCAGGTGAGGCGTCTACGGTTGCCATTCAACTCCAATCGATACACGAAATTTTCGGCTTCTTTCCGTGAGCCGATCAACTGCACGATGGCGAAGAATTGCTGATGCCCATCATATTTTTCTTGCTTCTCGAGCACCAACATGAAATGATGACCAAAACATGACTGCATCATAACCCAATCAACAGCGCCAGGCAGATTGATATCGGTTGCAAGGAAGACAATATCCTCCCCCTGTAGCGTGGTGATGCTTTTGTGGGACATCATTAGGTGTTGCATGACCAAATCTAATGGACCTTGCCATTTGCACGATGCACCCGGACATGGGCATAGATATGGTCGACATTCGCATGTCTCTTCGTGCTCGGTCTTTTCGGTGTAGACAAGCGATGCTGTACAGCCGTAACCTGAGTGTTTGCACGGAAATTTCACATTGGAGGCGACCTTTTCCATTGCCAAATTGCGTATGTTGGCCAATGGGCCGCGACATGTAGGACAGCAGGTGAGTTTCGAGCGACATGATACGCATACCAGATGCCCGCTAGAACATTGTAATATCGGTGGCAAAACATAATCGAAGCACACCGGGCACTCGAACAACGAAGTTAAATCGGCAGACATGCCACCATCACCGCCACCAGCGGACGACAGTGACGAACTAGAGGAGGAGGATGTGTTAGCGGCTGAGGATGTATTGCCGGCCGATGGTGTGCCGGTACCGGTAGCGATCGGACCTTCACGGCGTTTCGGATTTAGCTTATTGGACATTTGTGTGTGTTGTAACAGGGTGAATGGTTGTTGCTGCTGCTGCGCCTGCGGCTGCTGTTGCTGCGGCTGCGGCTGCGTGCAGGGTGTTCCAGAGGCGGCGATGACGGCGACAGCGGAAGCAGAGGCAGAGGCTGCAGTAGCGGAAGCGGGTGCGGATGCGGGAGCGGAAGCGACAACGACGGCGCTCTCGTCTTCGTTGTGCACCACCGGCACTGTTGATGAAGATGATGAAGCCGTCAAAGGCTGTGGGTGCTGTTGCTGAGTGGGCACCAGCGTTAGTGCTGTATGCTGCTGCTGCTGCTGCTGCACTGCCTGTATAGGTCGTACTAGCTGTTGCTGCACTTGCAGTTGAAAACGTGGCAGCACAGGCAACGATAAACGATAACGTTGATGATGATAGTACTCGTAGTGCTGACGCAAATGATGCAAATGACGAATGTGATTGAGGTACTGTTGTTCTACGAGAAGTTGTTGTTGCTGTTGTTGCAAATATTGTAGGCGATTGTGAATGTCTTGTTGCTGTGGACTCGTCGACTGATTATGGCTGTAGATGTTGGGGCTGTTACTATTG